GCTAAACGTTGTTGAAACGGCGCAACACTTTGTTATAGAAAGAAAATAAGTAAATACATGTTTGGCAGCAAATCAAGTGCATATATAGCATATGGGAATGAAACGTAGGTGGAGAACGAAAAACATATTGACGTGTGGAAATGACAAAAAAAAACTATTTGATCCGATTGTCGCAACTATCCCAGTGATCATAGGAGCCATTCAATTATGTTCCTCGGACATTAATCGTCCCGCCATGTCAGAACGCTGCTCTATAGCTTTATCGTCCGTTGATATAGAACAGTTTATAAAATCAGGCTTAAAAACAAGGTCGTAGTTAGTTTGAATAAGTGGCTACGATGAATGTATGAAGATCGACATTTTTTGCACGTGCTGTTACGTGGATTTGCTAGACTGTAGAGCAGAAGATATATTCATAACGCAAACGTCATAGCACTAATGTGGCCATAGAAGCTGTTTATTCTAAATACAAAATATGTGACGTTTTTGCGCTAATATTATCATCGATTTATCATGGCCTGATCATTTGCCGACTATACTACACAAGGATCTTGTCACGATTCCTTCATTTCGGTCGTTCTCACCCAACTCGGAGTGCTCGAACAAGCAGCGACTATAAGCGGGAGAAGGTTGTGACGCAACCAAGCATATCGACACTCAAAAGCTAACAATAGTCCATTAATTAAACGGCGCAGTATACCTGTGCGTTTTGGTGATTGTATTGAATTGTTTTTCCAGCTAGATGGCTCTTAGTTCCATATTTCAGGTTGCGTTAGGTCATCGTAAGTATAGTTTAAAGCCAGGATTTGATAATGGTAAAAAAAAAAAAAAAAAACGCGAACGCGTTGTGCAAATTGGGTAAACAGTTGTTGAGCTGGTGTAAAGTTGGGACAGAGCGCGTTGAAAATGATCGAGATGAAAAAAATCGTATTTAAGTAACAAAGTATCTATAAAAATTTGCTACATTTTTACAATTTGGACACGACAAAAGCAAGATCAAGGTTTAGACGGGCAATGATTATCGCAGTGCACAGCTTTAATTACTTACCCTGCAAAAAAAAAAAAAAAAAAAAAAAAGCTCGATATTTAGGTGCCACACGAATCAGCTCGATTGTATTTCTAAATGCGACACTTAATAGTGACGAAATAAAATCAAGCCATCTATGAAGCGATTGCCCACGGGTGCTGAACAGGAAGTCACACACGAAACGCACAGTGGGCGAAAAAAAAGCGACGCTATGTTTTTGTGTGATCGGAACAGAATTGTGCGCTTTGAGTCATTGCCGCCTGGCAAAATAATTGATTCGGATCTCTTCTCTGAAAGATGGACAAGATTACAACAAATTATTGAAAAAATCGACCTGATCTAGTAAACAGAGACGCTGCCACCTTTCGCCGTAATAATGTCAGACTACGCACATCCTTGGCTACTCGGCGAAATTCGAGAGAACCCGACTAGGGCATTTTTGTGCGTCATTTCGTTAGCGTCACACGACTCTCGTGGTGTTCGTTTAGATGAGTGGTTGATAGAGGGATGCAAAAATTTCTCGCTTAAAAACTAACCAAAGTTTCACAGTGGTGGGAATGGCGTTACCGGAGAAATGGCAAAAGGCCATAGATCGTCATTTATATCGCATATTCGGTTTAATACTGTCGTTAAATTTGGCTGTGGCCTGACAACTCTTTCGACAACCCATTGTTGCCATGTTATTTATACGACTTTTTGAAACTTACGTTAGAGCACACTACCCGCACTCAGCCGATCACATGGGCCGTTCTCATTACAGCAGCCGCAGCATCGGATGGACAGTCCATTCGAATAGACGTAATAAGCAAAACTCAGTTACCGCATCTGTCGTTTGATCTGTCACCACCGTTCGGTGACGATTGCGTGGATTTAGGGGAAGAGCTATGGCTGGCTATGGCTGGGAAGCTACCCTAATGCTGTCTGCTTCAGCTAACAATTGTTTTCTTTATGCTTCCTTGTTTAGCTTCTTGGCCTCTGCTCCCTGAAAAAAAGCGAGGGCAAAGATACAGTACGGAGAAGGAAATATTGTTGAGGAAACTGCGGTACGGTACTGAGCTGAGTGTTATATTAACTGTACTGCTGACGCGGCTGGCTTCCACAGTTTACGATCTACGCTAGCAAGTTGCAGCGTTTATTATAGACGAGCCATAGTATATCGATAGATGTAATAGCGAGTATCACCTTTTTTCGTTATAACCTTCATTCGTTTTAATTGATCAAGAGGTACCCGCCATACAGCCACTTCCATTTGCCTACTTGATCACACTATCGAGAAGTAACCAGCATTATGCAAACGAGCCGACTCTGATTTCAAGGGGTCTGATGAACGGCGAACTTCTGGCCTTGTTGCTGTCGTTGGACAATCTAGGCAGCGTGTCTGGATCTGATTGAGCATATTAGATTGTATTGCTTGGTCGAGCAAACTTCTTCGAGGACTGAGCTATTATTATAGCATCTGTTATGATGCTTCATTCGATGCTATCCATTACGTAGAATTACATCGCATTCAGGAAATCAATTATTGAAGAAATAAGTTCTAAGATAAGTTGAACGGTGTGAAAAGTACTTGGGCTTCAAGTATTATTCAAATCGATCTGAATAACGTGAGTCAAGTAACTTCAAGTTTTAAGGCCAATTGCGTACTAACGGAGCGGGATAGTTTCAAATGCTTTTTCTATTATTCTATTTTATACTGGCACCGCAGATTTCGACAGAGGAATCGGCGGACATTTTTTAATGGTTGAAAAATAATTTAATTAAGTTGCAAGCGTCAGCGACACCTGCTACTACACTTCGGGGCGTTGTTCCGATGCGGTTTTTCGTTGTATCAGTTATTGCTGTTATTACACGAAGGTGATTCTCTTCACGGATATCTTCCTTTGCGGTTTGCTAAACGTTTTTTTGTGAAATTGAGGTTCGCTGAACTAGCTGAATTCATTGAATTAAGCCACGCCAGACCTGAATTCAGTAATTGGCAGTGTTTCTGGGAACTTCTGTTGTTGCTGAGTCTAATTTCTTTGAAACGATACAAGGAATTCACGTTTTTCTTAGTCTGCTCAGGAAGATACTATACGAGACGAACTTACGTTTCAAAACTCTGCAAATAGTAATACGGACCTCTCACTTCAATTGTATGCTTCTTTTTTTCAGTTGTCGTTAGCTATTTAAGGGCACAGTACCGAAAGATTTTCCCTCCTCCGTAGTGGAGTACGCGACCGTATGCTGGGGAACATGAAACATCACATTAATTCAGCGCTGCACACTGTCTACCTTTGTTTCAACAATGCAATCTGCTAATTAGAGTTTTTTTTTTTTTGCTCCTCGGTGGCATTTGTTCCTCATCCCATTTTGACACTTAACGAAAACACACAAAGTCGCTGGAAAATACTCGAGTCAATCAAGCTCACTGAAATACTGCCATTTAGTTGTTCAGGGTGGCGAAATAGAATCCGCCAGCTGTACGATACATTACCCGAAAATACCTGTAAATACCGCACTTACTTACTTAAATCAGATATTACGTCTGCGTTTGCTCATTATGAGATTTTCTTTACCGCACCATTTTTCAGTTGTTTGGAAATGTTTGCTGACATCTTGTGGGTCGCTAATGTATACCAGTACTTCCACAAGTCGTGTTTCACTCTAATACTGCATAATCGGTCTTGAATGTTGAGACTATCTGACAGAGCGCCGATCACATATATATATAATATTTACCCCTTTTCTCTGTGTAGAATGTGGTATATTCGTTTATGCTGCTATATGTATTCAGTTGGATCGTCTCAAAAATTGCTTCACTTAATTACTTCTTGATAAGAAGTTTTAAGTAATTTAAGAGTATTCGATGAAATGATTAGAAAGCATCTTGAAGGGTACACTGTGCCTAATGAGTACGCAAGTGAGTACTACATATATCGCGTATTTTTTCTAAAATTAAGACTGACAACATCAAACTGTTTCTGCGTGCATCTAAGCCGTAGGCAAATTCGAAACGACGCGCTGATCGGCCTTTCATAATGCACACTTTTTTAACTGCTATCCTATCGCACCCACGTACCAGATCGTCAAACACCCCCGGCCATCGATCTCAATGGCTATCCTCATTCATATAGAAAGCAGAAAAGTACAATTTTTTTTGTCTACTATTTGCCCCAGTAACGTTTTAGACCGTTTGCCCCGCTTCATCCGTACAGACTTTATTGCCGCTATAAAAAAATAAACTCTATAAGCATCGAAAACAAAAACGATCTACGAAGTGTAAGGCTTCTGGCTGTGTATAGTTGTTTTTTTTTTAATTACTTCGTTACGTTGCTACATGCTTTGTTCCACCGATTTAACCAACTTTCTCGTATCCATTCGTTAAAAACACACTGTTAGACATGACAGGGATAAGCTTGTCGAAAATAGAACAATCGAAAGAAGCTAAACGTCCCTAGATTTAATTCGTTTTAATTACTCCGTTTCTCTCAAGAGCAGACGCTAGCTGCGAATACAGTCGCGTACGGCGATTAAATTTTGCCAATATATATATATATAAGCAACTAGGCAAACGTTTGTTATGCTGCAATATTCGCTCAATTTGTCATAACCAAGAATAGGTAGAGTAGCGAAGTGCGGAGACGCCACATAAGGGTACTTTGTTCCGAGTTCATACATTTCGTTCTGCCAGGTTGGTTAGAGGCCCAAATCTGGTACCATCAGTCATTCATTCATTCATTCATTCGGCAGTGGTTGCATGACGAGTCGTCATCCCATCTTGAAACAACCTGGTAGTGATAGTCTAGGTAGTAATGGCTGTAGCGCGAGCTCAAGTGGATGTTATGTGGCCGGCGTTTATCTTTGTTATTGAAGAGGTTAGAAAGGCTCAGGAGAAAGGAACAAGGATAGGGTGCCCAAAGCTGGCCAGGAAAAGCTGCTTAGTGACTAGTAGACTATTCGAATACATGTAAAAAGATCGTACAAACAGACTCACATTCAGGTATTCGGAGCGGTGCTTATTGCACGTACACGTCTATACAGGAATCACTGCGCTGTTCTCGTATTCACTAACGAACCCGTGGCAAACACTGAAAATTAACATGGAAATTCATGAATCAACCGCTACAGCTGGCAATTGCTAAGAACGAACGAGCAAAAGAGCTAATGTCATTAACATCAGAAAGCGTAGGCCGGCCCACGAATTTGCCACCAGCCAGCCAGCCAGCCAGCCAGCCAGCGCGAACAACCACCGGCGGGTACGTACATCCACCACTGTATACGCTATATGCCACCATGCGGAGCAGCTGGCTCTCTGCCGATCTCCTACTCAGCCAATCGCACCGTGGAATATGCACTGTCTACACGGAACCTGTGGCTACTTATGGCTCCTTATAGAAATACCCTTTGGACATTTCTTTGCGTCGGAGAACGCCTCCCGAGTGAGTAATTTGTAGGAGACGTGCCGTGAATCTCATATGATGATGATGACGGTAATGGCTTTAACCGTTTCAGGTGCTGCCTCGTTTGTCTGGCCAACACGATGGCCGGAACGAACAATCCGCTCCGAGTCAGCGATATAGGCGATGCCGTGCGATTCGCACGGTGACGATCCTTCAACCGGCCTCTAACAAGCCGAAGCCAATTAGACAAACAAATCGATGTTTTTTTAGCATTGATTTCGTATAGCAATTTGTCCAGATAGTGCTACCGGTATTGGTAAACACATTGCTCTTGTCTAGAACGGTAGTGGTCGACCCGGGCGTACCGTGCTCTGCCATACCAATTTTTTATAGACTATCCGATTCATGGTCATTACATTAATGAATTGCTTGTTATCCGGGGGCCACGATTCAGTTATTTGATAAAAAGTGCCGGGCAGCCGATGTTAAATTGACTGACGCTTTTTATAGCTACTATTATATTCTGAAAGGTTAGTCTCCATTACTTCGTACCACTCTGTCCTATCTAGGAAACGTTGTCTCTAATGAGGAGAAAAATGCTTAGCGAGATGTGCAAGAACCTCAAACGGTGGAAACCAATTGCAAGCATCTTCGAATAGTATTCTTCCTTGAGATGTCTGCTTAAAGAAGCTTAGTTCGGAATATCTATCGATAGGAATAACATACGAAATGGCAAATAGTGTGTATTGAACTGACTGTCTATTAAATATTTCCTACATAACTGTTCTTCCGTTCCCATCGCACAGTATGAGTAAGCTGGATGATACCAACTTAGCCTTTAAAGGCCTAGCGCGTCGACAGTGATATCCGCTATAACCTTCCTGGGAACAAGTCGGCCTAGATGAGCTAGGCCTTTAAAGGCTAAGTTGGTATCATCCAGCTTACTCATACTGTGCGATTAGAACGAAAGAACAGTTATGTAGGAAATATTCAATAGACAGTCAGAAGGGGCGGTAAAATAGCAGAAACCGCGCCGGAAAGCTTTTCGAACTTTTTGTCAGAGGTCTCTTGCGCCAATTCGTGGTCAAGACGAAACGATCACGCCCCGAGTAATATAAAGCTGACTCTGTGACTAGGGAGCATCGGCGTGTCCCAATGATCTCAGCGCATACAAGGAAATAAATACAATGTGAGTTGAAATTTACTTATAGAAGCAATCGTATCCGGGAGTTCGTGTCACACAAAATCACTTGTAGTCAAGCTGTAGCTGTTGCTCCCTTACCTAGGATAGAAGCTGGTCGTACTTCTATTAAAGAGCTGAATGTTCATCACGTCTTCGCCTATTTTTGTGAGCGGAAAAGCCTAAACCAGTAAGATAATGTCGTCGTGAGTATAGTACAAAGCTTATCTTTTGTGATCAAATAATTATCGAGAAGAGATGACGATAATCATTGACACTATGGATAAATTTGCATCGACCTGACTGCTGAGATATCTATGTATATATAAAGAAATATGTTATTACGAAGGTTATACATGGTTGGTCGATTGCCCATTTGCATAACAACGGAGCAATCCTCGGTGTTATCACCGTACATGTGTGCAAACACTTGTCAGAAGCTTCTGCTAGCATCAATTGCTCCCCCTTTCCAGCTATCAATATCGGACCCCAAAGCACAGCTGTTGTCTGTACACTTGTTAACACTTCAGATTACTAGAAAGGGCCGATGAAGCGATCTCACTGAACGTAATATCGTGTGTATATATTATTAGGTAGAATTACGCGCATACGGTGAGCTATAGCTATGTGTAAAATATGTACTGTTTCAGTAGGACATGCTATATGAAGTTGTATGGAAAACCTTCGCCAGCCGAATGGACATCAGATAACACAGGATTCAATTTTGGGTTGTTAATGTCACTCGCTCCCCTGTGACAGCAAGTGAAATGATATTTTAAGTGGATATCTGTTCAGTAGGCAGTGCCGGAAGTTGTCTAGCGACAGAATCGTGGCCTACACAAGGCGTTCCTTTCTTATCGCCAATATTCGTTATAAACTTTTGCCGAGATATGATTGTCTTTTTCGCCGTTTTTCCCTGTGCCAAAATCTGGATGCAGGATGCAGGATAAGGAGCGAAAGGCGATCTTGAGTTATTTTCCAGGGTGACAACTTCCACGACTGCGAGCGCTGTCAATTACGATTCAACCTTGAGTAATCATCTCAGGTTGCAGAGACAGGCAAAGAACACCCCTACTTCGTGGAGTATAGAACGGTGCCGGCAGCCAGGCTTCTAGACTGTTTTCAATATATGAAAATGCTTATACAGTTGAGCTTTGTTTGCGGAATAAAGAACTTCTCTGTGAATACTAAGCAAAAAACGGTTTCAGTGAATTTAGGTAGCCAAATATGTTATTACAAAGCGTTCGTCTTCATCTTGTACGATAATTTCGTTTGGCGTTTATTTTATTTCAGTCCGTTGATGACACTGTGTTTCTTTACAATCAATAAAACAAGAGAAATTGTTAACACCGTTTAGTATAAATGTTACGTGCCAGCCAAGACTCGCGATGTGGACACTCTACCTAATCAAAAGCATTCAGTAGAACAGCATTCTAGGCCACACAGAACTTGATCATTGTCCTGGCTTATGTTTGTTTCTTTAGGATTAGCAAGATCCTCAATGAGATAGTGCCTTATTACCAATATGTATTGCAAGAATCGAAACCCTTCTTGCCCCGTGGGAGGTATCTTGGATGGTGAATGGTGTTCACATCGAATGCACCGGCGAAAACGTAACACTGAACAAGCCAAGTTCTACAAGAAACCAAAAAACAGGGCTTTTCGCACGGGTGTTTTCAACCCCTTTTGGGTATTTAAAAGCACGATATTTACCGTAGAGTCACCACCATTGTCACAGCCACGACGCCATATACCGGTTGTGTCTCGAAATAGTAGCTAGAGCTGTTCAAGTGCAATGGCGACATCAGCGACATGCACACAATTCCCTCCATGTCGCTCCCGAGACTTTTTCTCCCTCGATAGTTCCTATCCGCTAAGAAACGTTGTCGTTGATCCTTCTATCACTTAAATGCATAATTACGGGCGCTGCGGGACCCCGAGCTGTGTCGAGGTCAGCCCTCGGGGCAAGAAATCTTGGTTGCACTTAATGGAGCCTGTAGTGCTGAACAGTATCCTGCTTCAGTACGTCTGTTTTCATCAATGCTCGTCTTTTCAGACACCGGCAAGTGTACAGCGGCGCCGTATCAAGAAGGTTTTCTGTTCCTATTCCCATTGACTTATCCCATCTGTCCTTATTATCATTGAAAACTGTCATACACTTAAATTCGCTCGCCGTCGCCGTCCGTTCGTCCAAAAGACACCCAATTAACAACAATCGCAACAGCCCATCGCTAACCAGTATGTAGAAACAGAACGATTTGTCTTCGCCGATTTGTCAAAGCGAATACGACGACGTTTTATGAAGACACATGCAAGAAAATCTTTGCTGTGGAAGCATCGCCAGCCTGACATTGATAATAGCGATTATGCTCAGGTGACAGTGCTAAGATATATCGATGAGGCGCTAGCGAAAAGAACCTGAAAGCTGCTTATATCTCTTGCCCCTTTTGGGAGTTAGGTACGAGAGTTTTCTATCCATGTAAGGCCTGCAGAATAATGCCGCCACTAACAGTACCGCCCGGTGAAAAAGGTGTCGTAGGCCTTCTGTTGAGTCAATGACAAAAGCGTGAGCCAGCCCGATTGCCCGTTATTGTCTATGTTTTCATGGGCCTAGAGGTACATCCAAGCCATCTATTCCTGCACTAACATATTCTTATCGATCAGACAAATCTTGGATAGAAAGATAAGGCAATGACAGATCTTTTCAGACTATTGATAACTGACACAAATTGCTACCGTGAAATAGTATGAAAACTCTTATCGTAGCAATATTGCATCGTACTTAAGCTTAGCAGCGTATTAGTGCTAGCAGGCTGCTATATGCAGATCCCGTCTATAACTTACTGTTTAATATTTTCCGCTGGTGTGTTTGTCGCGGACTATATTTACGACCTGTCAATGAGTAGATCCAACATATCTACTTAACCTGAACTAGATCTGGCAACCGCAGCAAATATACATTTAGCTAAAATAGGCGATCATTACTTAGTTGTGTTCAGGGTCGCTTTTTCTCTAGCTACCTCAAAATTTAGTTGAAAGGTCTCTATTTGTGACACTGAATACACGTTTATAGTATCTACGCCCAAGTCAATTACGTATCTCGTTTCGCATTATATGTCTGCGTTTCTCTAGTTTCTATCGCCAGGGTACTCGCTGTGTTGTTCCTGTTTATTGCGATCAGATACGGCACTGTTTTTTTTCCCTCACTCGTTTACGCGTTCGTCGGTCAGCTCCTCCCAGATATTGTCTTGGCTCTATACTAAACCAGGCCTGATTTTTATAGACAGAAAGAAGGTTTCTATGTATCATCGCAAGTTCATGCCGTCACGCAGCTCCAGTCAGTGTAATGGAAGCGGATGGTGATGCAAAGGTGACCCTTAGTCTGTCAAACGAGCCAAGCAAGTACTGCACTTGTGACTTGACCAT